AATAACAACAATAATCAATATCATCATGGCGGGGGTGGCGGCGGCGGCAGGACCGGCCTGGGGCCGCTCCAAAGGCCTCGTGGGGCCGCATCCGGCCCCCGGGCCTTAGGTTGCCTACCCCTGCCATAGAATGTTGCCATAGCAGTTAAAGTGGAATATAGCACTATAATTGTGTAGAGAAATGTGAATCAATTCCAAAAGGTCTGTTGTTCCCACTATGAAAGTGGGTCTTTTCATTATCCCCTTGTAATCACTTCCTTTTTGGCATGATTGTCATTCCCACTAGTTTGAGCCGATTCAAAATGTATGTCAATCATTTACATGTCATTGGTGACACAAGTGGCAATATGGTGAGGATGGGACCAGAGCGGATTGCTGATTGGGTTATATGACCATTGTTCCCACTTGAAACCGGTTCCGATCCTATTGAGCTTGTGATGTTGTGTATTTCTGCATGGCGGAAGTTAGACTATAGGGCTCTTAAGATTCTTTCCAATTCCATAACTGCATCTGCATTGCAGAAATAATCCAGTTTGACATCACTTTAACTGCTCTGATTCAATACTATGTAATTCTGGGAATTGTCATTTTGTGAGACATTTAGCCTTCTCTGTCAGAGAATTCGGGTTCCACAACAAATTACAATTCCCAGAGTTCCATAGCATTGAGCCATGGCAGTTAAAGTGGTGTCAGATTGGATTATTTCTGCAGTGCTAATGCAGCCTATGGTTCTACAGCTTTTATAATAGTTTTCATCATTGATTGGTGCTGGGAGTAAAGAGGAAAACACAAATCATTACAATCTCACATTGTCATGTCCCAGGAGCAGCCTGAACAGAGACGTAAGGCCTAAGCAGACTGCCAGAAATAGTGCACATTAAATTGAAGCACTGCCCTGGCTCAGTGCTAGGGAATCATGAGAATTGTATTTTTTTCTGAGACATTGAGCCTTCTCTGTCAGAGAGCTCTGGTGCCACAATAAATTACAGTTCCCATGATTCCCTAGCACTGAGCCATGACAGTGCCTCAATTTAATGTGCACTATTTCTGGCAGTCTGCTTAGGCCCTTAGAGTCAATGGAGGCTTGTGGCTCCAGTGTCAATGAGATATTGAATTTGCTCTGTTTAGTAGTATGAAATGTTAAAAGAGCTTTCTAAGGTTAAGCCTATTGGAGGGATAGGGTTGAAAGATTTGTATACAATATGACTTCCAAATCTGTGTGGGATCCATTCTTGGACTTACTGAGGAAATAGGAAACTACAGATAATAGTTAACCTTAGTAAACTGAGTATGTCGTGAGATCTTGTAACAGCTTTGCAACTAACTGAAAGAAAGAAGTTGGCAGCATGAGCTATCATAGACTTAAGTCTACTTCCTCAGATGCATTTGGTGAGCTGAATGAGTTCCAGAGGAAGTTGGTCATCAAGTCAGAGAAGCTAGAGGTTCTTAGAGAGAACACCTCTCTAGGCATTTCTAGGTCCTCCGGTATGACTCTATGGTCAACTTCTGCCAAAAGCATACCATAGAATTGCACTGGAGAATCTAGAAAATGCCTAGAGAAAACATATTTTTTGGACGTGGGTAAGTGAAAGTGTGGGTACCAGTCCTGCGGATATGAAGGTCATACTGTATTTTCTTCAAATGTCATTCTAAAGAATGAACTCTTCATTCCACTAACAATGACATCAGCCTTCAGGTCTTGGTGAGGAGCCACTGAAAGTGATACGAACCCCAGGTTCCATCTCCTGCGCCAGCCAAGACCGACATTCCTGAGCTGGCCAGATTGGACACTCCCAAGCCAGTGAAGCTTGGAACTGTGTTACTGGATAGGTTCAACACCTGTGAATTTGAAGTCTCTATGCTTGTGACAGCCTTGACTTCGAACATGCTCCCAGCAGAGGGATAGGCTGTGCTCCTCCATGATCCAGGGAGCCAATGTGCAGTTGTGCCTAGCAGGAGTACCTGCTGAGACAATAAAGTACCAAGCTGCAGGCCATCAATGTCTTAATGCTTAAATAGAATATATATATAAATATATATAATATATAATTGTTGTAGTAGTAGTAGTAGTAGTAGTAGTAGTAGCAAGCTCTCATACAGTCTGTAATACAGTCACATACAGTCTGTAAGATCCATTTGTGCAACCATAAGCTTCAGATGTAATTTACAACTCCTATCTATAAATTAAGCTTGTAGACACCATGTGTAGGGAAATAAGATTTTTCAAAAGCAGAATCTTTTCACATTTCAGTATAACAATAATCTGGGTAAACGCAACATGACCATCACTATAGATGTATATTTGTTAAAATGCATGGTGCAGTTT